GGTTGTAGGTTCTTCCCTTTCATCACTTTAAGTATATCATGCCTCTCCCTTCTGGCTTGTAGAGTTTCTGCTGAGAAATCAGCTGTTAGCCTTATGGGAGTTCCTTTGCATGTTATTTGTCATTTTTCCCTTGCTGCTTTCAATAATTTTTGTCTTTAATTTTTGCCAATTTGATTACTATGTGTCTCGCTGTGTTTCTTCTTGGGTTTATCCTGTATGGGACTCTCTGCACTTCCTGGATTTGGGTGGCTATTTCCTTTCCCATGTTAGGGAAGTTTTAGACTATAATGTCTTCAAATATTTTCTCGGGTCCTTTCTCTCTCTCTCCTCCTTCTGGAACCCCTATAATGTGAATGTTGTTGTGTTTAATGTTGTCCCAGAGGTCTCTTAGGCTGTCTTCATTTCTTTTCATTCTTTTTTCTTTATTCTGTTCTGCAGCACTGAATTCCACCATTCTGTCTTCCAGGTCACTTATTCATTCTTCTGCCTCAGTTATTCTGCTATTGACTCCTTCTAGTTTAGTTTTCATTTCAGTTACTGTATTGTTCATCTCCGTTTGTTTGTTCTTTAATTCTTCTAGGTCTTTCTTAAACATTTCTTTCATCTTCTCGATCTTTGCCTCCATTCTTTTTCTGAGGTCCTGGATCATCTTCACTATCATTACTCTGAATTCTTTTTCTGGAAGACTGCCTATCTCCATTTCATTTAGTTGTTTCTCTGGGGTTTTATCTTGTTCCTTCATCTGGTACATAGCCTTATGCCTTTTCATCTTGTCTATCTTTCTGTGAATGTGGTTTTTGTTCCACAGGCTGCAAGGCTGTAGTTCTTCTTACTTCTGCTGTCTGCCCTCTGGTTTGAATCCTGGTTCTTCATTTAATAGATTTCTATATTGGTCAAGTTACTTAACTTCTCTGTGCTTCAGTTTCTTGACCTGGTCCGATATGCTGAAGAACAGCAGGATCTGGCACTCTTGTCCATAAGCACTTTTCAGCGAGCGCTGAAGGTAAATAATAATAGTGAGTAGGCAAATAGCTGCAACCGAACCATAGTTTTTATAGGAGTGTTTCATCTCTAGTATTATTAGAAAATGACTAGCAATTGGGAGATTGGGATTGACATATATACACTAATATGTATAAAATGGATAACTTATAAGAACCTGCTGTATAAAAAAAAATAAAATTTAAAAATTTAAAAAAAAGAAAATGACTAGCAATTTTTAATCTCTAAAATTAATGATGATATTATTTGGCATAATTCTAAATACTTGGTAAAAAAAGTATTAGTTTTCCAAACTGAGTTTAGTTAAGATGGTTTTAGAAAACTTTTGCTTTATTCATTTTTTAGCACTTTTTAAAATTCCTTCTTCTACATCTAAGTTATTCTGACTCCATATTTTTCTCTGAGTTATATAACTAGCTTTGCCAAGGGGTAAAAATCACTAAAATATATAGCTTTTCTTTTTATGTTTCATAATTGAAACATTCCTGCTGGCAATAGGTACAAGAAAAAAATCAAAACAGGAAAGAGAAACAGCATGATGTACAGGATAGATAGTAGTTATACTTCAAAAATGTGAAAAGCAGAATTATAAAGTGAAAATATCCCCCAGGAAAAGGCCCCACAACCATTTTCTATGGTTCATGCACTTGAAATACAGGGAATTTCTGACCAAAAGGAAAACTGTGGTACCTAAACTATTCTTGCACTGTCCCAATAAGGGAAGATATAGTCAGGTACACAATTTACCTACATCATGTAAAAGTGATCAGTAAGTCAATATCACACCAGTGACAGGATGACTTCCATGTAAACAAAAGTTTTTCTATGATGACATTATCACTTATTGCCACACTGAACATTCAGAACAATGAAATGTGTGATCGCAAGTTCCAGAAGCCTTAGAAAATGAATATGGAGTGAATGTTCAGGATGCTTGTTTGAGGACATGACAAACCAGACAGTCCTTTGGCCCCCAATCTCCATATCAGCCTATGCTACTTTCCTTAAACCTTACTATCCCCTAACGCCCATGGTATGTATGCCATAGTTCCTCCATTCCTTTCATTTTTTTCAAGACTTTTGGCCATTTTAGGTTACTTGGTTCCAAGTTAAGAACACATTTTCAGTCCATGAAAAAGCCATGGAGGGCAGTATTCAAAGTGAGCCTAGATGTGGTTAGCACTGGGAACAGTTCACACAAGATGTACAATATTCAAGTCACTCTTAAGCAGTATTCATTCATTTATCAATTACTGAGCATCTTCACATCACAGAGTTAGATGAGCTGTTTGAAAAAGAGAATAAAGCACAGAACACCTGCCCTCATTAAGTTCACAATCCAGTGGGCATGAAGCACAAACAAGCAGTGAATTATGATACTTTAAAGGGAGATTTGATAATGATATATACACAGGCTGTTACTGACACTCAGAATAGGCTTCTTACATAGGGTTGAGGTAAGCATCCTTGAATTTTACATTTGAATTGAGCCTTGAAGGACCCACTGGAATAAACCAAATGATGGAAGGTTAGTCATTCCAAGTGAATGATGCAGCATCTGCAATGTCAGGCTCTATGATTAGCAGAAACAAAAACAACAAAGTATTTTGCACAGTTTTGCAAGAGAGGATTTTGGCAAGAGTCTAGTACCCTGGATAGCTCCCTTGCCTCAAAGGTGACTGGAGAGACTGAGGTCTAGCAGATTGGAAGGGGGGCTGAAGGATCTCCAGAACTTCAAATTCACCAATCTATCCTATATTAAATCTCTTTGGCTTTTAAGATACATCATCGAATCATTTCCTGCGTTAGACTTCTGGGGCTACATTTCGTGTGTCATCATCCAATGAACCTGATGCTCCTCAGAAATATCCTGGGAGGCAATTCCTTCCTACTCTTCACTAGATAGTTAATGCTAGACTGTCTTTATCCCTTCAGTGTTTTGAGCAGCACTTGGACCTGGCACCGTCACCATTTCCCCCTGTAATTCTTCATATTATACTCTCCCTCTGATCAACTTAGACCCTCCCACTGCAGGGCCCTTGATTCTTTCAAAAGGTTGGCTGGTGTTGTTGAAGAAGATATCTCCCAATACCACCATATTTACGTCTTGAGGTACACTGCAGGAACTATCCCTCAAAGTTAATTTTAACCATAATGTTGCTATAAGTTTATACGTTTGCTGTGTACAGATCTGTAATGATTTTTTGATGGCCCTGTTTAGTAATCTATACTTTATGTTTAAAATTACTGCTATAAGAGGTACACTCTAACTTTTAAGTAACTCACTTATTAGTGAATACGTTTAGTTTTCTTGGGTCTGTTTGCACATGAATATAGTATTAAAAATTGAAAACAAAGTCAAATAACTATTCTTGAGCTATCTGCCCAGTAGGTAACATTCCTTTGAAAGTTTAGGAATCCTGGTGTGCAGATCCATTGGTTTTGTTATCAATAAGATATTTTGAAACTTTACCTGAAATAAGTTACTCTTAGTCTGCATTTCTAATACTGAATTTGAGTTTTATTTAGAGGTATGGTTTAGAGGTATGTTTTTCCTTTTCTTAACCTTCTCATCTGATGTCTTTTCCCTTTCAAGCTTTTCCTGGATGTCCTAAAGAATACTGTATCTTAGAAAAGAGTACTCACTAAACACATTTCATATATTCTGGCTTAATGACTTAATGTTCTGGTAATCTGTATACCTATAAATAACAAAAAACAATCAAACAAAAATACTTGAGGAAGAATTGCCTAGAATGTCAAAGCCTACATCTGCATTTATTTCTGTCATGTTTTTACACTTGTTTTGATTTTATTTGTAAACCTTACATAGGTTTGTGATATATCATTTGCTGCTACTGCCAAAACCAAACAAAAAACAAAAAAGCCAAATACACAACAATAACAACTCACTAACAGAATCACAGTATTTAACTTTGCAGGAAAGAGTTCATTGCAGTGAACAGGTACATAAGAAATATGACACGCCAGTCTGAATTCAGTTGATGAGGAAGGTGTATCACTAAGACTCCCAGAAAAGTTGAACTAAGGTAGTACACCTGGCTTAACAAACACGTCCTGAACAAAGGAATACCTCTAGGTTTCATTAACAAATGGGGAAAATCAGAGAAGGCATCACACAGTCTGAAGTATGTTTCTTCAGCTGTTTGACTTTCCAAACATGTCATATTCAAATAAGGTTACACAAGAGAATGGAGAAAAGCCAGATCATCTTGAAATAAACCAGTGACTTAGAATAAGAGAAACAGGCAAACACTAAAGAATCAAACCAGACATGGAAGAATCTGTATTCCGTTCATGTGGATTAAGCTGTTAAGGAGCCACAGGAACCATAGGAGGTACACTCTTCTTGAAACAGACTGACTTATTCATAATAAGTATTTACAAAATGTCTGCTGTCAATGATGATGAATGAGGTAGCTCTACAGTGGGACACAGCCAGATAAGGGAAGATAACATGTAGCAAAATGAGGCAGTCTGGTGATGGTCAGAACCTGGAACTAGACTTGCCCTGTAGTCTGAAAAGCACTTTACAACCCCAGCTCAAAGTACTTCCAGGAAGTCCAACCAACCTGTGTATCTGGGGGTGGGGCAACATGCCGTAAGTGTCTGGCATCATGGAGGGCCAAGAGTGGGCCCTGGAAATGAAGCACACCTCTAAGAGCTGGAAATGACAGCCAGGAAAGTAATTACTAGGGCAGCCGGGGGGGAACCTGCTGGCAGATGAAAAGGGCGCAGGAAGTGCGGTGGTTTAGAAGCATGATCCAAGTCCTTAAAGAAATAAAGAAGGCTCTGTCAGAAGAAAAGAAAGGCCTTGCTCAAATGCTATGAGAAATGGTGATATCGAGTAAGTTATCAAGAGGCAGGGGAAAACATTAGGTGAGAAATCAGTTTCGGTTATTAGAAAGAGGCATTACTGTAAACACATTATAACATTAGAGCTGGACAGCAAGGGTGGCTTGATGTTAAGTCCCAACATGTTGGGCGAGAAGTCAGTCAATCTTGCTCTACACAGAAGGATTGGTCCTAAATCAGGGGCATGGCTAAGGTTCCAGTTAATGATTAAACGATTCCAGCAACAGAGAACAGGTACTGACAAAATCTACAAAACCTCTCACCTAAGAGACACACTCAGTGAAACACCAATTTTTTTCCTTTTGATATTAGGCATCTACTTTTATTCATGTTATTGACTGATTTAAACACATTATGAACTATATAACTTTGTCCGTTAGTCTAGCAGAGGGCTTCAGAATAACCAAATTTAACTGTCCATGGACTTCTACAGAATTAGAATACTTAAATATTTTTAAATATGCCCTTTGCTTCAAACATTTGAACATTGACTAAACCCACATTTAAATAAATAAGTTGAAGATTAAAAGCCAAAAGAAACTAAACTGATGTGATCATGTAATTTTTTTTTTTCTCATGGGAGACAGCTGAATTAACAGACTGCACCTAAGGTCAACTTTGCTTGAGCAAGGTTCTCAAAGCTTTGTTGATCTTTTCCAGAAGATAAGCTGCATATCTCCAAATATGAAGAATATCTAATACCTTAATATTCTCTGCATAAAGGCACTCATTCTTTTTTTTTTGGGGGGGGGGGGCGCGGTACGCAGGCCTCTCACTGTTGTGGCCTCTCCCGTTGCGAAGCACAGGCTCCGGACGCGCAGGCTCAGCGGCCATGGCTCATGGGCCCAGCCGCTCCACGGCATGTGGGATCCTCCCGGACCAGGGCACGAACCCGTGTCCCCTGCATCGGCAGGCAGACTCTCAACCACTGCGCCACCAGGGAAGCCCGGCACTCATTCTTAAAATTATACTTGGTTACATCTTAAATTTCCACTAATAAGTTGGGAGATTCTGACCAGCTGGGGTAAAAGAATTGTGATTGAGTGGCACTGAGGGTAAAAAATATCAGTACTGAAAAGAACAATAAGAAGACGGGAGCATCACCCTTAGAAGTCCTCCATCACTTCTTCCAATCACCCAAAAAGCAACAACAGCACTGCTGAAGATAGTGGCAACACGGTGAGTACTGCACAGATATTGCTGGGCCCTGAGTCAAATCAGGAATAAGAAGAAAATACACTCCTTCACGTTTTCTGTCCACTGGTTTCATAATTTCTTCATCATTGTAAAAAAAAAAAAATCAATGTTTGGTGTCAGTAGCTTTGGCAGAGCACAGAACAGAGTGTCAGTTTCCTCATCTCTAAAATACACACAAAACTTTATAATGTTAAGAGAATTGCATGGCATAACATATATGAAGTGTTTAACACGGAAGACATGTTCAGCACATTATAGCCATTGCTGCTGTTGTTAATAAACATCTCATAATTTGCAAAATATAAAGGAAAATAACGCCCGTGTTTACATATATTCTAGGACTCCCTTTATTTTAAAATACTTTTTAAAGTGTCAGTCTTTGGAAAAACATAAAATACCCTTAGAACGAAGGCAGACAGTTATTCAGCCAATATTTATTTATGTGTTGGCCACTGTTAAATCCTGATGATTCTGAACCAATCACACAAATACACATAAAATTAAACTGCAATGAGTACCACAAGGTAGAAGAACATGGAACTAAAACAATATATAATAGGGCAACTAATGTAGCAAAGGAGGCCAAGGAAGGTTTCCTTAGAGAAGGGATGATTGAGCTCATATCTGAAAGGCAGGGGTTGGGGGAGTGGAGGAGGGAGGGAGGATGAAGGGACAAGGATACTAAGAGAGACACAGGATTTGAACACATTATCTTTAATCTTGAAGGATGTACAGATGTGGTCTAAAATTTATTTTAGTAGTAAGAACATTTGAGAGAACATTCCACACTGGTGAAGCTATTGTTGAGCAGCTAAAATAACTGTAGTCTTACCCAGAGAAGATGATTATAAATGCCAAGACGAAAAATATCACATGAGTCAACAAAACTAAACAAAAAATGGTCAACCTTTGTACACTGTGCATATTTTTTGCCTTATAAGTGACTACCAATAAGGTCAGTCTGAGGTCATTACTGTCCAGTTAAATTCCACACTTATGTATTGCTTCCCCAATCAACAACAAACGTGCACAGGAATTAGAAAGTCTTTTTGTTTTTGTTTTTAATTAAGATGTAATTCTTCTGATGGAGAGTGTAATATTTTCTAGGTCTAAATAGTTAAAGCTTAGTTATCTCTACCAGTTGAGGAAAGTATTTAGATACAAAATAGGTAGAAAACACAGTCTTCAAGTTTCACTATAAGATATTCGAGGTCAGTGGTTCTCAAAGTTTAGAGTGTGTGAGAATCATGTCGGGGACCCCAGCGCAGAGTTTCTGGTTCAATCATCCAGTGGAATTGCATTTTAACGAGTTCACTGGTGCTACCGCTCACGGAACCGCATTTTGAGAACTACTGCCCTAGGTTAAGAATTTGCCGTTAGGTAACAAAAATATTTCCTTATAAATGACGTTTAGATTTTATTTAAGATCAGAACACAGTTACAGTGTTCAAATATTTTAATAAGTTCAATTAAAATTTCAAAATTGTTAGTACAGTGTAAATAACACAAAACGAAAAAGTACATTTTAAGTTAATCTAAATATAGGGCCAGGAATTTGGCCAAACAACAAACTGTATCTGTCAAAGACCTAAGCAGAAATGTTTTTTTTTTTATTGCAATACCACAGACCCTAGTAAACATTTTCAACCACCACTTTCTTTTTTTGCCATTTTGTTTAGCCCACATATGAAAACAGCTTAAAATGAAATACAGTCATTTTAAAGTGAGAACTGATAGCAATATGCTGGTACTGTATCAACTGCAGCTTAGACTAGTCAGCTTTACATTTTTATAGTTAGTTTAAGCTACATATTGAAGTATGTTTCTTTCGTTAGTGTCTTTCATCAATCTCCTCATCTTTTCTCACTGCTTCTCCCACCGCAGACTTCATGTTTTATTGTTAACTGACACTCTCGCATAGTGAAGATAATATTGCTGATAGAAGCATATGTCCTCAATATAAAGCAAATAGATTTTGTCACTATCCAGTAAGGAAATCACACAGAAGCTGTCAGTCATATAGTAGGAGAGATTATCAAAGTGATACACCTTTGACATATAGTCCAAAACCAAACTCAAAAGAGACCAATTAACAGATACACTGGTCTGTACTTTGACTACATTGGAAACCATCCCATTCCTGCATGAATATGAAATAGGTGATTTAATAGGATTTTCACTTCTGTAATAACTCCTATCTATTCACTGTTGACAAAATATATATGCAAATCTTTTAATTCAACTAATCTGAAAGTAATTCTACTCTGTTATTTATTGAAAGTGATATCTAATATTTGTACTATTTCCTTATTGTCACCATAACATACTTCTCAGGTGTCATATTGAATAGACAGGCTCAATGTCAATTCAGATCTTTCCCCTTGTGGTCTTAAAATGGGGAAATGCATTTTAAACAGTTTTGTGTTTGCTTTCTTATATATATATATATATATATATATATATAAACAAATATATATACAAAAAGCAAATAACTAAGTTCAAAATGCTCAGAGACAGAGCATGCTCTTATTAGTAATACAATCTATTTACCAGAAGACAATTAAAACATCTTTAAAACTGTCACTACAATTCTAAAATTGTTCCCCATAGGCCCTACATCATAGCTATATATTCATGGAAAATAATGTAAAGATAGATTAACTATTATGCAGATGCATTCTAATAACTTTAAAATAAAAATATTATAGAAAGTATATTAATGAGTTACACATTTTATATGAATAAAATATTAAGCATTCAATGACTGCTCACTATGAATACAGTTGTTCTTTTACATACCTCATACTCTTTCCTTTAGAGCAAATCTAAGGAGAATTGGCTAAGGATGTAACTCAAACACCTCACTTCATGTACATGCCACCTTGTTATTAATACGAAATGCAATACTTTAGTGTGATGTGGTATATTTAAATATTTAGAGTAATTATTCTTTATAAATGCATATAAAGCACATTTTTCATTAAAAGGCAAGATAAAATCAAAAATTTGTCTTCTTAGGTACAGAAATATTGACAATTCCAAGAATGCAGCATACAGAATGTTGTTCATCAAAAAAAGACTCACCTGCACTTTGCACAACAAATTCAACCACTTTGCAATATCAAAATCTATTTCAAAACAAACTTATCTTTCTTAAATCTTATGTTCTTTTCTACAATTCCAGGAGACTTACATCTTATACCTTATATTCTCATCCACAAGCCACTAATCCTATTTATCCTTTAAGATCAAAACCAAGCAAGTCTTACCTACGCCGGAAGTCTTTTCAGACAAAATCCAGTATGAAATGTTATTGTCATGCTCTGAACTCCTGCAGTCTTCATTAGACATGCAACCTCTTATTGTCAAGGTTTGCTACCTCTGTTCAACCATGCGCATCAGATTTGCCCCAACTGGAGAGTAAGCTCCTGAAGGGCAGGAAGCAAGGAAGTCCTATGTTCCTCTCCACAGTACCTAGATAGTATCTTGCACATGACAGGCCCTTTATTATGAACACTATGTGATAAAATGCAATAAGGAGTTCAATATCTATAAAATGTAATATTTTTTCATTTTCTACTTCACAAGTTTGATATAAATTAACATTCTACAGTAAAAAATTCATTATTAAAATAATAAACAGTTGCTGATTCTCTAATGGTGTCAAAGAAGTATCCATAAATGTGACTTTTAATGACTGCAATAATATAATTCATCAAGCACATTTTAAAATTCCCCATTACTTCTACATTCCAGTGATTCAGGAAAGTGAAGGTAACAGCCCTCAGAGTGCGGCGCTCAGTTCAAGTTTTAATGTGATATATAAAAACTGCACATGCTCCAATGCTAAAAATGTATTTTAAACCAACATGAATCTAACCAAATCAAAATAACAAATCCTTAACACTGCTTTGTCTTCCAAATAAACAGGACTGTTAAGGAAAGCTACTTTTGCACTGGAAAAAAACAATAACAGTTGGCATGTTTTGATCAAAATAAGGAGCTCCTTAATTAATACCAAATGAAGACAAATCACTCTGACAATAAGTTGGTCAGTCTACTTCTCTTTCTTCTCCGTGAAATTACTGAACCGACGGTTGCAATATGGAATTTCAATGCTTTAAAAACACTGTACTTGGCAGGTGCTTAAAGACATCCCAATTTAAAATAATAAGGACACTGTCCTACTATCTCCGTCACAACCCCGTCATCGGTTCCATGAAAACACAGGTTGCTACTTTTAAGAACAAACATAAAGTTGCTAAAGCATAGTTGGCAGACACTGTCCTAAGGCATTTCCAAGCTTCAAGTCATGTCTTTGGAATTTTTGCCTGTCATAAAGCAAAAAGAAACCGAAACAAATTAATTATGTTGTAGACTAGATTAATAGTATTTTAGGTCTTTTCTTAATAGCTAGTTGTAATTCTCATCAGTAATAATCGATATAAACTCACTAGGTGTCTGCTTCTCTTTCTTCCCCAAGTCTTTTAATAAAACCATCTTTATGGTAAAATGTGTGCGCATTATTTTTAATAGCCTTTCTTAGGGGTAGAAATGGAGGATATGCGTTACATATCACTGGGAAGGTATTCAATTGTAAAGATATTAGAAATGAAAGCTGTTGAAACCAAGTAGGTACTTTCTGCCTGTAGGTGTTGTTATTGGTGGCCTGAAGAGGTAGGAGGAGTGTAGAATAAGTACATACAAACATTAAAGGGCAAGAGATAGGTAACTTCTAAGAAGCATTTTTTTTCTACCTGTAAAATGACAAGTGATTTTCTGACTTCCTTCACCTCATATTCAATGCCCCACGATGGGGAGGGGAAATGGAAAGCAGAATTGCTTCTAATTCTGAGAAAGAAAAGGGGAGACATGGGAGAGAGGAACAGAGAGAGAGAGGAGGAGGAGAGAGGGCGAGAGAGAAGCTCAGGAACCACGGAAGGAAACCCGCAGAAATTTCACAACTCTGCCATAAATAGCCTTTCTTCTCACTCTGGATACCTCGTCCTCTACATCAGCAAGGCTCAGCCTCCACGCGCAGGGCAGCACCATTCACAAATCCCTCCGTCACCCCATCTCGCACACCTGCCCCTGATAGCACTGCTTGTACGAGTCCTGGGACACATGCCAAAAGGTGACGGGAGGCGGAGCAAGGGGACACCTGCGGTTTCAGATCGGGACTGATTTCCTTTCCCGGGGAACCAACGCTTTGATTAGTCAGGAGCGCGAACGCACACACACACACACACACACAGACACCCCTCCCTGGAGCCCTTGACACGCCACCACAAAGCAATTTGTTCACGCTAAGTCGCTGCTGTTCCTGCCGCCGCTGGGGAGCGTCTGACCCCCAACCCAGGAAGCCAGCGCCGGAGAACGAGAGGGTGGAGGAGAGAGGACGTCCAGGCTCGGGCACTGCGGCTCCCCGCCCCCTCCTTCCTCTTCCCCCTCCCACGCCCCCGCCCCCGCCCGGGCGCCCGCAGCCCCCGGCGTCAGCGCTGCCCGGCCGCCCCTACCTGCGGGAAGCGAGCGGCGAGGGAGGGGAGCGGCCACCAGCCTGCGCCAACTCTTGCCTTCTCGGCCGGCCGCGCTCCGCATCGCCCCGGAGTGGCGGCCGCGGCCGCAGGGAGCCGAGCGCTCAAGAGCGCGGAGGAAAAGGCCACGCAGCACGCGGGGAGTCGCGCGCCGGCGGAGAAGCGAGCCCGTCCGCCTCCCTCCCTCCCCGCCCTCGAGGCCAGGTCTCCGCGCCGCGCACGCCGGGCCCACGGCCGGCGCCCCTGGCCTGCTCGCGGGCTGCTCCGGGGCGGCCCGGTCACAGCTCGGCCAGCCGCCGGGCGGTCCTCCCGCGTCCGCCTGAGGCCAGCGCCAGTGTCGCGGCGACGCGAAGCGCGACCCTCCGGGCGCGGGGGCACCGGGGGCGTTACTACCTGGAGGGCTCCGCGGCGCTTGTTAGGCTTCTCCCGGGCACGCGGGGATTTCTGTCTTCGGAGCACGGGGGTTGTCCTTCCTGGCACCCCTCCTCTGACCTCCCTCCCTGCCTTGGCCGTTGGGCTCCTTCTCTCCACTCCCAGTTGAACAGAGTCGAGCTGCGTTATTTAATAATCCTCCTGCTGCTCTGCCTGAGCCACCGCTTCCCAGGCAGTCATGTTGTGGAGAGAGGGAGAGAGCGAGAGGCGGATTGGCAGTCGGTCGGCGACTGTTCGTGGTGAGAGAGGGAAGAGCGGAGCAAGAGGAGGGCAGGGGAGGGACGTGGGGAGGCGCTTCCAAGTGTGTGAGTGCGCGGAGTGCGACTGAGTGGGGGACAACGGAGCCACCTCCCGGCTAGGCCGCGCTCCGTGACTGTAAGGAGGGCGGCGGCGAGCGCAGCTTTTATAGGAGCGGAGCGGGGGAGGAGTTAAACTGGGGCGGAGGGAGGGGTTAAACTGGGGCGGGGCGTGGATGGCTCCGAGGACGGCACCCGGCCAACTGAGGCCGCGGGTTGCCACGCACTCATACTCTTGCATTTAACGCGCGCACACCCACTGCTGGCCCGTTGCTGAGTTTTCATTTTAGGGGAAGCCGCATCCTGTCGTGCTGACTTGGCTTTGCACTCAGCCCATCCTCATGAGTGCGTCGAGTCCAAGTGCATTGGCAGGTCAAAAGTGTTAGAGAGGGAGAATCTGAAGCTCTGCGAAGGGGCCCCGGTAATGCTGAAAATGCACTGTATCTTTTCTCTCCAAAACACCGATGCTATTTTCTTTCTCTTCCACCTCTCAGGGAGAAAACTGTGAGGCGTCCTCCTCTTTTCCTTCTCACCCAGGCTATTCACATCCTGACACATCTCTTACCTCAAAGGCAGCAAGAAACCTGGCTTCCTTTCTCTTAACAGATGACACCTCCCAACAAATATTTACAGCACTCAGTTCTTCTGTAGGATAATGGAAGCATTGGGACTGTGGCCTGGAGTGGAACTTGTGTTCCTGCACATAAGGTCCTCAACAACACAGGGATTACAAACAGAACCAGTTACCATTTTGACATCATTTGACTGATGGCCCTCTAGAGATATTTTGCCAGTTTAGTGGTGGAGAAGACTTCTGATGCACGGTGCTGTTGCTTACCTAGTTTATTTTCCCTTGGTCCTTCCTCCTGTTGCACTGCCTCATTTCCGTTTAGATTTGCCCTGGGTCCTGAACTCTCCCATTCATCCCCTTCTTTATCTCCACTCCTGTATATTTATGTCTTTAGCAGGCAATAAAGCAGATGGAGTGCATTTAACTCTGTGTGTGTGTGTTGGAAACATTTTTTACCCAATTTTGGTGGCTTGTAGGACCATTTCTAGATAGAAAATACATCCCCAGTGCTAAGTTTGGGCACCTGACATTACCTCCCTTACCCTCTAACTAGCCTCCTGCCCAGATTGTAGGGTCTTTGTGGTCTGATGCACTACTGTATTGGCAAACAGCTTCCAGGAATCAAGCAATCTATGCTTCTTTCAAGTTTGTGTGTGTGTGTGTGTATGTGTGTGTGCGTTCTAAATAATCTGGTCATAGTCTGACTTCTGAAATGTAAATATATTGAGTGTAAAGGCAAGGTGTACTTTTTGAATGAGTATTAGGGGTCGATGTGGATTTTGGTATGGGGACAACCCTGCTTTGGGGTGACAACTGTGGAAAACTTTTTTTTCATAAAGGTGACAAAAGGAAATTAAGAACATCTAGGAGGCTAGGGCTGACAACTCAGTTATTGTATCTTCTCTCTTTATTAGTAGCTATATCCACTGCTATGTCCTCAGGTTTTTGGTGTATGCCAGCTCGTAATATGTTCTCCATATATTTTACCTTTACCGTCAATTTTCTTTTGCCCTAATTCTTCCATGTCTCATACAAAGAGTTTAGAATCCATTAAAAGTGGCTTAAGTATATAATCAAAAAAGGGCAGCAAAGTTGGGACCAGTGGACAAATATATCAATAACATAAAAATACAGGACATGATAGCTCCCTTGATCAAGCATTGTTAAATGGATATACTAACAAAGGATGTTGAGATTCAATGTGTGTAGGCCCTGTGAAAAAGCTATTACCATTTCTTCAATTTTGTAGATCAGGAAAGTCAGGTTTGGGGAGGATAGGTAGTTAACATTAGGTCTCGTACAAATTAAGTGGTGCAGGGCTTCCCTGGTGGCGCAGTGGTTGGGAGTCCGCCTGCCGATGCAGGGGACGCGGGTCCGCGCCCCGGTCCGGGAGGATCCCACATGCCATTGAGCGGCCGGGCCCGTGGGCCATAGCTGTTGAGCCTGCGCGTCCGGAGCCTGTGCTCTGCAACGGGAGAGTCCACAACAGTGAGAGGCCCGTATACCGGTAAAAAAAAAAAAAAAAATGCAAAGAACAAATTAAGTGGTGCACCTGGAATTCAACCGAAGTCTGCCTTACACTACTGTCCATACTCCCTCCCATTCAGACCACCTGGCTTAGTTGAGAGTCTTAACAGTTTCTTTATAGCTTTCAATAATTATGGAGTAAGCTGATCTGCAACCCCTCAGCATTTTCCTTCTACTTCCCTCTTTTTTCTAATGCAAGAACGGTTTACAAAACTGTCCACCATTTGGGGGTTAAGTAAGGATTTAAAAAGCCCTTACTACTTGGATTTATAGATGAAAAAAGTCAGGAAACTCTTCCCTGAAGTCCTTACTAAAGGAATCCTGCTATCACTGCAAAATGAAACTTTGTTAGAAGACATATTCCTGATCTGAACTTTGAACCTAGCAAATAAATATGTAGTTTATTTAAGAGCTATAAATAGGCATTTAAGAAAAAAGTTTTTCACCTTTAAGGAGGATGCTCAGTCATATTGGCAAGTTTTTGGTTTTTATTGTCCCAGTTCTCTATTTAATTGTCACCAATAATGGTAATTTAATAATGACTCTATATTACACAGTTCACAATTATACATTAGACCAGATATTTCAAGGGCACTTTTGGTAACCACAACTGATTGTAATTTTCACACTCAATTGCATTCATAATTAGTGAGAACCATGAAAATCTGTCAATTGCCTTTATTCATTAAGGTAGTAAGTAAAGCCAACATTCCTTCCTTAATTTTATAACAATTTTGCTTGCCAAATAAAGGCCAGAATTCATACACACTGGACCAATAAGCCATATGAGAATATATAACCTAAAATACACTTCTGAAAAGTTGATTCATTTTAACTATTTCATTTTTTTGGTTGAAAAAAAATCTGTACCAGAAACCCCATTTATAAATTATAATGAACAACATTTCAGAAGTTAAGTAAATGAATTATTCTCTTTTAAGATTGCTTAGCGTTTCAAGTAGAATTTCCCACTTTGCTACATTTTCCTGATACAATTTGTGTTGTGATAGGAAAACAGAAAGTTAATGACTCTTTCCAGTTTGTTCATTTTCATCTCTTACGCTTGCTGCTGTTTGGTTCCAAGTGCATTTAACTGGCAACTTCAATGAAGATTTGGCATTGTACCATTTGATGAAAGCAGAAAAATTAGGTTGCCAATTACATATGTGCCCCTTATGTGCACTGAATTCCCACTGAAGTGATGAGCCAAATTAGAAATTTTCAGTAGTGGTACCTAAAAAGTAAAATGAGTGCCTAGGGAAATAAGGGAGATAATTTTTCATTCCAACCCCTACTACTATGATAATAAAAGTCATAAGATGTTTTAGAAAATGAATTGACTTTAAAACATTTGCAAAACAATGTTTGTAGATGAAGTATCAGAAAAAAATTTAAGTTGCATTTTTTCTGTCCTAGTTATTTTATCATCCCTTGATTTACTTCATACTCTATCATGATTATCCAGTCAATATGAAGAAAGTTAAATGAAGACCACTTCTCCCCTTTGCTTTATCCTAATTGTATAAAAGAAATGAAAAAAAAATTTTTTTTGAATATGGTATTAACATTTTGGATTTCTTCCATATTACTTAAAGGTAAAATATATTTTTGTGACAACTGTTGTAAAATTAAGGTGGCATTATGGGTACCTTATAGCAACAGGAGCCTCGAATGGAGATTGAGGCTGAAATTTGCACTGGATTCAAGATCAAGGACGGGTAAGAAAGTGAGGGACAGGAGAGAGGAGAAAAGAGAGGTGAAAAACTCTCTTAACTGGGGCAACCTGTCAGGTAGACAGAGCACTAGCAGAAAAACATTAAGACAGAATTATTTTTCAGAAATCTGGTAATGACTCCTACACTTGGTAAATTGTCCTTTTGCAGCAGAAATTCTGCCCGGTGACAGAACAGCAGGATCCATCATTGCCCTTGCTCTGTGGAGGAAACTAAAAGGGCAAGCAGGTCAACTGCCCAGGATTTCAGAGAGGAATCCTCTCCAGAAGCTAAGCCCAGATGACTGGGTCAAAATACTCACTGCATGAGCTGTCTTTGATCTGGGAACTACACAGACACCAAGGATTCGTCCCATGGAGCAGATGTGGTAGCAAGACTATTAAGGTGAAAGCATGTCACTGTCCTTGTCACTGGGCTACCATATCCCAGGTTTAGAAATCGATCTAATTCTAAGCCCATGGGCTGAAGGGGTGGAAAGCAGAGGATGTGGAGAGGCATTGCTTACCCAGCAACTGAGGAAATCCTTACTTTCCAGAGGAGAATATCCAGTTTAGAGGGCTGAAAAAAGTTGAGGTGGCAGAAGGAGGGGAGAACTAATGTCAACACTGATGTTCTCTGAATTTATGTCTCTCTATTACTTAAGGGAGATAAACTGTATTTAAAATAATGTTTATCAACATAAAACCAAAGGAGTCTTTATAAGCAGATTCACCAGTAGAAACTTTTCCGTGTATATAATTTCCTTATCTTTGTTTCTATTTCCAGATGTGATCAATGAGGTCTTACGGAAAATGATCTCAGGATTTCTCATCTTCATATGAGGTAATTTTCATGTTTGAATACTTGTTTTGTTCTGACTGCAATATTTTTTAAAAAATATTTAACCCAGTTAATGGTTCATTTGTTGATGTCTGTGAGTTACATCTATCAAAGTGATTTTTTTCACTGGACATGTGAGTTCTTCTATCATGATTGTCCCTAGGCATCTATGCATTTGTAGGCATTTCATTAAAATAAATAGAACTTGACACATTTTTTAGAGAGATCATCAGTTAAATCATCTCTAAAAATAGTATACTGATAAAATCTGAAACTGTAACAATAAATCATATAAATAGATCTAATTATAACAATAGAAGAACTATAACAAAATTGTAATAGTACTCTTTACTATTTAGATATATAGTAAAAATAGACAATGCTAATAAAATAATCTAAACCATATTAAACCGTTACTTAAGCAGGTTGGAAACTGGTCTTGACATCTGTCAATTTCTGTACTGGCAGTTTCACAAATGAGATGTCTTTTTAACAAAACATCACAGCAGGAGATACAGACATGTGAATTGTAATTAAAATGTGAAAAATGCATTTCCTAGCCTTTGTCACTTATATAAAGCTTCTCTTATGTTGTGAAATTCTACCCTTAGGAAGTTACACAAAGTGGAAATAATGTTTATTTTGCCAAATCTATACACTGTTGACCATAATTTTAACTTAAGTAATGAATGCATGTGCTATCATAAATTTAATTGTGGTTTCCTTATGTCTTGTTCACACAGTAATGAGATTCAATTATTTTTTAATCATCCAAATGTAGAAGATGAAGAGGAGTAATTCGTATATTTCTATTCAGTCTAGATCTGCTAAGGACTAATGTTATTGCTTTATATTTACTCAGCATTATATTCTGTATATAAAAATATATTGAATTTTATTCACTTTCTGGGAAAAAATAAACCTAAATGAGTGCTTAATTCTGTAATGAAAAAGTTGCCTAAATATTATATAATAGTTTTCCTGGTTTCATAGCATTTACATAAAATACAAACCAAAATATGCAACATAGGAGATGTAACTATGGTTAATGCTACATATTGCTATATATTGAACAAGTGCTCAAGAAATCAGTGGTAGCATAAATCAAGTTAACAACATAGTTTAAACTTAAAATGACACATTAGCACTCAAATAGATCTTAGTTTTTATTTTCACTCTCCATAACATCTTGAATATTTTCTAGAAATTTAAAGTTAGCATGTGTTCTTGACATTTGTCATGATGGGACTTATATATCCAAACACATTCACATCCCTGACTTACCTTTGGTGCAATGATGCTTTTCTTTGTACTGTTATCACTTACAAGTTTCCTTCAAATGTTAACATTTTTAACAAACAAAATGGGTATTGAGATAGGAGTGAGTCATTAAATCAGTATGTAATTATATGTTTCAAATACAAAATATTCCATCTCATTTTTATGTACTTCTTACAGTACGACATTGAAACTGTTGTGATGGAGTGTTAAGGATTATGTCCCTTCCTCTTAAACCCGAGCAGACTTTTGTGACTGCCAGCCCTAGAATATGGTGAAAGCGATGTTATGTAATTTCCTAGCCTAGGTCATAAAATTGCCATTTACTTTATCCTTGTTCCCAGGGACTGTTGCTCATAGAAGCTAATCACCTGCTGTACAGAAGCCATGCAAACTGTGGCAAGGCCCACATGGAGAGGAACTGATGCCTTATAACCCTCAGCACCATCTGACAGACTCCACATAAAACCAGCACCAATTTGCCAGCCATGTAGGTGAGCCATTTTGGTAATAGATTTCCAGCTGCAAATCTATCTACTCCAGCCAGCCATGCGGAGCAGAAACAAGCTGTATTAATTTTGATTGCTGCATACCAAATTACTGCAAACATCGTGGCTTCAAATAAGTAGCAATGTATTAGATCACGGTTTTGCAGGCCAAAATTCTGGCAAGGTGTGGCTAGTTCTCTGCTTATTATCACAAGTCTGAAATCAAGGTGTTAGCCAGACTGAGTTCTCATCTAGGGGCTCTGCGGCACAAATCAGCTTCCCAGCTCTTTCTGGTTGTTGACAGAATTCAGTTTCTTGCAGTTATACAGCTGAGATCTCTTTTTGTTTTACGTGTGCCTCCCTCCATCTTCAAGCCAGCAACAGCAGCTTATATCCTCATGCTTCAAATCTTTAACTTCTTCTGCCGACCAGAGAAAACACTCCCACTAGACTATAAGCCAATGGTGGGCCCATGACTTTATTTGCTTATCATATCAGGGCCTAGTAGAAGAAAAATAATGTGTCCTCAAGTGACACAAGGGGTGGTGCATATGACTGACGTTTTATTCTCTTTATCATTTCCTGAACATTATATGTCATGGTGAAGCCTTATTGTTCATTATTCCTTCAGGAGCCTTTGTTTTCCTCCATACCATTCTCAGTCTCTCGTATGTTATCTTTCTTCTGACTTGACTTTAAAAATGAAGGTTGCAGGCTTCACTGTAGCCACTCGACCAAGTACTATTCAGTCACATGAAGCAGTGTGGTGAGCTCTGATGCAACACCACAGCAGGTTGTCTTAGTCGGTTCAGCTGTTGTAATAAAACACAATAGACTAGGTGGCTTATAAACAACAGGAATTTATTGCTCATAGTTCTGGAGACTGGGAAGTCCAAGATCAAGGAACCAGTATAGTCATGTTCTGGTGAGAGGTCTCTTCCTGATTCATAATCAGTGCCTTCTAACTGTATCCTCCCATGATGGAAGCAGCAAGGGATTTCTGTGGAGTCTCCTTTATAAGAACACTAATTTCATTCATGAGGGTGGACCCTCATGACCTAAGCACCTCCAAAACCCCAACTCCTAGTACTATTACATTGGGCATTAGGACTTCAACATGTGATTTTGGGAGAACACAAATGTTCAGACCATAGCAAAGGTCAAGACTGTGGAAGATACAAGAAACCTCAGAATAAACTCAGCTGTCCCCAAGAGCTTTAAGTGATGTTGGGAATGAGATAAAGTACTTTGTATCACCATATTTACCTTTTGGACTCATTAATAAATATTTATTAGTTAATTAGTTTTCTCCTTATAATGTTTTCTCCGTATACTGTAGCATGTTTACGGGTGGAAGTTCCAGCCAATAGAATGTCACATCTCTGAAATATAACATGAGATTTTGGTCATCAGATGTTTATGGTACAAGGTTGAATCATAGGAAGTAAATACTGAACAATAATCTGAAAGGATAAAAATAAAAGAGGAGAGAAAAGCAAAACTCGTCATGAAATAACTCCACAAGTAGTCCTGAATGGAGAGAATTCCTACATAAATAAATCACAATCATTTATGTAGTCATGCATCAACAAGTGACATATTGATTTTTTTTCTAGAAAACCAAGATAAAAGTGACAGGCCGAGAGTCAGTTTAGGCATACTGAAGGAGCATTTCACTAACGGGATACATGAGAATAATTTGAAAATCTAGATTTACCGTGCTAATTTCTCACCAATCTTGTGTTCTTTAGTATCTATAAAACATCTTTACTTAGAATCATAAGAAAGTAAATGTGAAGGGATTTTAGTCATTCAGCAGATTTGTATTGCAGATGTTAAACAAACTAAATATTAGGGATACCAAAATTGAGGGGAAATTCTTGCAATTGAGATAGTCATAGAAACAAATAATTAGAATACAATGTACTGTGGAACAAAAAGGGTATAAAAGCAGTTACTCCTTGCTTTCAAGGAAATAACAGTCCAACAGGAGACATATTACAGCAAATGATTACAATAGTTACTTCTCAGTCCTCATTTTACTTTGGTAGATTTTGAATTGGAGTGACTTTGTACTGTGTTGATGTAGCTAAAACTGGAATTGTATTTCCCAGAATTCCCTTCCTGATACGGTTCTGCACTAAGGTTGGCCAAAAGAGAAGTCTTCATGAGATTTGGAAGGGAGAAATGAGGCAGCAGCTATGTTATGTGCTAAAGAACAGTGTAGGGAACCAGGTGGTCTTTTAGCTCATGCTCCTTGATCTGCTAGCTCACTTGTTTAGTTTGGGGCGGCAGCTGCATCTGCAGCTCCCTCAACTCCTGCCAGATCTCCTTTACCCTCTCAGAGTGTGTGGTACAAGTTCATGGGAGGTCCACTGTAAAGGTTCTTTCTGCATGTCGCTATCTGCATATCCCTTGTAATGTTGAAACTGGAGGTAGCAAGAGACAGATGTAGGCAGAGATGGTCTTTTAGGGGTACACTTTATACAGTTTGTCTTAGCTGATGTGGGTAGAGATTGTCTTTTGGAAATCCAGTTTATCCTGAGGATTCCAGTCTGTCCCAGCTGACCACCAGTCCACACAGCTTTTCTTCCCAACTGCCATTTCTCAGTGACTTTAAGTCCACCATTAGAGCAGTGGCAACAGACTTCCATAGGCTTCTGCCCAACTCCCACAGTTGCATAAGGTCTGAACCCTATAATAAATTCCTTATCCCATATCACTCATATTGGTTCTGCCTTTCTGTTGGGACTCACGCTTACATGAATATATTTTGTAGAAAACAACCACAGGAGTACTGCGGACTAGATGTAGAAGGTCAGGAAAGAGAAGAGTCAAAGTGACTAAATCTTAAATTAACATGATAATTTTAGTCATTTCCTTCCATTTGAAACATTTCTTCCATTTGGCTTCTGGGACGCCACAGTCCCCTGTTTTTATTCAACTCACTTCGATGACCTCTGCATTTGGAATGTTCCAAGACACAAGACTTAAACTTTTGTTTTCTTTTTATACTCATTTCTTTGGTGATCTCACTTAGGCTCAGAGTTTTAGTACCATCTGAATGCTTATGACATCCACGTTTGTATCTCTAGCCCTGAACTCCTAACCCATGTCTGACTTTCAACTTGATATCTCTGCTCATTTATAGAAGCATCTCAAGCTTAAAAATATACAAAGCCTCTGAATTCTTCTGAAAACCTGTTCTGTATGCCGTCTTCCCCATCATGGTCAATGGCAACTTCTATTCTTGCAATTGTTTGTGTTGAAGACCTTCAGGTCATTCCTAGTTTCTCTTTTTCTCTTACAATGCGCATCTAACATGTCGGCAAATCCTGCTGACTTTATGTTCACATTATATAGAGTATTCCAACCACTTCTCAAAACTTTCACTGTGTAACCCAGTTTAAGCCACCATCATCTTTCACCTAGGTAACTGTGATAGCCTTCTTCTTTTTTTTTTAATTAATTAATTTATTTATTTTTGCTGTGTTGGGTCTTCGTTTCTGTGCGAGGGCTTTCTCTAGTTGTGGCAAGTGGGGGCCACTCTTCATCGCGGTGCGCGGGCCTCTCACTTTCGCGGCCTCTCTTGTTGCAGAGCACAAGCTCCAGACGCGCCGGCTCAGTAGTTGTGGCTCACGGGCCTAGTTGCTCCGTGGCATGTGGGATCTTCCCAGACCAGGGCTCGAACCCGTGTCCCCTGCATTGGCAGGTGGATTCTCAACCACTGCGCCACCAGGGAAGCCCTGTGATAGCCTTCTGATCTCTACCTTACCTTTGTCCCTCATATTCTCAAAACAGTGGGCAGAACTGACATGTTAAAATCTAGGTCAGATCACGCCACTGTTCTGCTCAAAATCCTACAATGGCATCCCATCTCACAGAGAGTAAGAGTTGTTAAAATGGCCTATAGGCCCTGCATATCATAATCTCCCTCACCATGACCCCGTACCACCACCACTATTTGCTGTTGCACTTCTCTCTGTGGATTCTCTTCCTGGATTCATGCAGGAGAACTTCCTTACTTTCTTTCGGACTTTGCTCAAATGTCACTTCATTGAAGCCTTCTCTACCATTGTATCTAAAATAGTTACTCCACTCCACACACATGCTCACATCCATTTCTGAGCCCCCTTGCCAGCTTTATTTTTCCTTAGCATTTACCTCTAAAACAATGCATATTGTATGTACTTATTTTTGCTTATTGTCTGTTTTTCCCACTAAAATAAAAGATAATGAGGACAGGGGTGTTTCTGTTTCCCCACTCCCCATGCCCCCCATCCCCCTGTACCTAGAGAGGTACATTGTTTATAGTGACCCTTAATAAATATTTGTTAAATGAAGAATAAGTCATAGAATAAAAGCATGATAGAAACACATACAAGAAGTAAAACAGGAGACAGAGAGGGTTTCAACACTACCTTCACTCACTATTCTGAAAAACAAAAACAGATACTTGTCATTTTATAAAAACTTTTAAAAGATTTTGTATGGGATGTTTTCTAATTAATCTCAGTATTTATGAGGCATGGGATAATTGAGAAATGTGTCTTCATGGTAATTCTAAAAGCAGATGGCATTCGTTCATTTATTCATTCAGTCCACAAATGTTTATTGAGTGCCTACTATGTGCCAGCAGCTAATACAAAGGTGAATAATGAAATATTCACAAACTTTAATTAAACATTGGCAATATGCTAAGCAGAGTACTAAACCATGGATAGAGAGAAATAAAAGTTATAGTCCAAAGAGCTGAGAATATATTAGGAAAGACAAATAAATAAATAAACAATTACAAAACTGTGTGAAAGGGCTACAGTAGGTGCAAAATAGGAGGTTTTGTATTATATAACATAGGTATAAATAATCCAAATTTAAAGGGTGGATTTTCAGGGAAGGATTCCTATCAAATGTTAACATCTGGCCTGAATTCTAAAAAATATATCTTGCTTAACTATATAAACTTTGTTAGGCAAATGGTGGCAAAATAATTATTCCATTCTTTGTGTTTAATAAATATTTGCTAATTTTCTAGTATTCAAATAACCTTTCATTTGGGGGTATTATTTTAATAAACATTAAATGTATGAAACTATCTTTACACATTTTATCTTTTATTTTTATTACTAATTTAAAATAAGATTGAGCACTCAGAAGTCTTAAATGTTTTCCCAGATTCATATGGACGTTATGGAAAATATTTATGCCACCTATACATTTCAGAGTCTCTGCTCATGGAAATAACACAGTGGATATATATATATATTCCTTTCCTGAGAACCATAAAAATAAAAACTTACAGTTCTATCATTTCTTTTTAATCTTGAGACTTGACAGGTGAAAGAAAACACATAATTTTCTAGTCAATTTCTAACTTATTTACTTTTGTATTTAGTTGACATCAAAACACTAATTTTTTGGTTTTGAAATCGTATGTTCAAGTAAAATGCCTAAATAAAGAAGATAATGTACTGTCTTGCAGAAGCAGTGTATGTTGGAAAAGTTAAATTATATGTTCGGTCCACACCCTGGGGCTACTACTTAGGGGAGATACCAATTAGAAGCGGACAATCAGCAAGTTTAAATTGAATCATGATTCTTCCTGAACTCAAGTAGTTATGCTACTGTACATATTTCACTCAATATTTTAATGTCACCAATTTTTTTAGGCAGTTCTATTTTTATCCATAACCTGCATAAAACAACAGCCTCAAAATAGGTCAGGGTGTTATTGACTGCTCAAAGCAAGCACACACTTGGGAAATTTCTTCTCGAAAAATCCATCTAAAGAAAGATAGGTGTTTGAACTTTTTGATATTTAGATGTCAAGTTATAAAATCTCTAAGGGTCTATATCCTTTATATATAAACATATATGAGCATTGACTATAAACAGTGAGCATCTGCTTAAATGTGATTCATATCTAAATTTTTAAGGATTAGGCATTAACTTAGGTCTTTTAGAAATACAACTTGATAAAATCTGATCATACAGCTATATCATTAGGTTACCTACAAAAAAAGCACTTTTTATAATTATAATGTCCAGATTAATGCTATTTATCTGGACATTAATGTATCTGGACATTTATAAATGTATTATTTGTAGTAACGTGACTCACCTGCTCTTCCAATTCAGGGCATGAGACTGATTCCTATGTTATCTGTTCAGTGTGGTATTTTTCTTCTAATGAAGGCACATCTGCGTTCACTGTGTTAATGTTCAGCGTTCTCCTAGGAGAAGTAGAGCCTAGACGATTAACTACTTCTTGAAAAATATTTTTTAAAGGGAAGCGTAAGTGCTGAAGCATGTAAAATGCACTACCACATTAAAAAAATGTTCATTAACAAAAATAAATTAAAAATGAGGGTGGTTTTACATCTCCAGAGCAATAGCAAGTTATGCCTCAACAGTCTACAAGAAGTTATGTCCCTAAATGTTGCTCCATTTAGCACTCTATGAAACCTATAGACTCATATTAGTACATTTAACAGTTTGTGAGACAGCTCTCACTAAAGGTGTTTTTTTTCCCCTTAACTTAACATTTTTAAGGTATTGTAGGTATGTAACTCAGGTAACTGCAGGTATTTGAATTTTTTGCAGAATATATAGCAGTATACAAATACCTCTATATAATACTTTTCAGAGGAAAGGATTCCTTGATTTTAAAAATATGTTTAGAAAATGTTTTTAAATATAAATAAAGTATTTTCCTTTGTTTTCTATACTTTCAATAACTTACTCTCTTCTCTTCCTCCTGCTCCCCTTCTTTCTCCTTGTTACTATTCCTCACACTCCTATTTCTTTCTCTTCTTTATTGTCATCATAATGACTACCTTCAGCTGAGGCCTTACTCACATGGTGGATATTGCGCTACTTCTTCAAATATCTTAACCATAATGAATATATTTTGCAGTAAAATCAAGCACAAGTAAAATCAACCACAAATGAAATCAATCCACTCTTATTAATTCCTTTCCTGAGTTAAGCATGTAACTCTATTTGTAAGAATTAAGCTGCCTGTTGATGAGTACATTATTTCCACATCTGAAAGCCTGCCTCCAACTTCTTGGACCAGCTTCCCACACGATAATATGATATACTAGACAGAGTTTTTCAGGGAATATATGCTGATTAGGCAGCATTCTAATGCCATCATGGAAATAGAGCCACCATTTGAATTATTTCCTTTCACATTCTTCTGTATTCACAGACTACTTCAGCCTTGGTTAAAAGAGAAAAATTATGATTAGATAGTGCACATCTGTACTTCAACAAAACAAAACAATAACCAAAACTAAAAAGTGGGGGGAAGTCACGTACCCTGTTGCTTAAACAGAGGGCATATTTTATGAAAAACTAAAAATATGTCCCTATTGTGTAAAGAAAGGGAAACATACATAGACATAATATCCAAGAAGAGGCCATAAAATGCAGTGAGTAAGTTCACTACATTGCAGGTTCCACAGAACTGGCATCAAATCCTTGCTTCACTTTTTATCAGCAGAGCAACTTTGGGTGAGTTACTTAACCTCATTAGTCCTCAGTTTCCATGTATATAAAATGACAGTAGTTATAGTGTTTACTGTCATTGGGTTTCTGAAGAAATTAAATAAGAGGGCATGGGAATGTTTAGCACAGTACCTAAACAAGTATTCAGTATATGATATCTATTGTTATTAATGTGCACCAAAGCTAAATTGTTAAATCAGTGAATATATAAATTTCTCTAATGTATTGTGCAACTAAATATATGTCAGAATAACTCCAAATTACCCTCTCTAGTAGAAACAAGTGTCGAAAAACACAAATTACATTTTTTGGAATTTGCCACAATATAGCTAGCTTTAGTTTCTAAACATAACATCTGTTAAGAAATAATGTTTCCGGGCTTCCCTGGTGGCGCAGTGGTTGAGAGTCCGCCTGCCGATGCAGGGGACACGGGTTCGTGCCCCGGTCCGGGAAGATCCCACATGCCGCAGCGGCTGGGCCCGTGAGCCATGGCCGCTGAGCCTGCGCATCCGGAGCCTGTGCTCCGCAACGGGAGAGGCCACAACAGTGAGAGGCCCGCGTACCACAAAAAAAAAAGAAGTAACGTTTCCAAGTATCCAACAAATATTTATTGAACACCTAGGATTTGTCAATCACTATTCTAAGACTGGACTGGAGATAAAAGAGTACACACGGAAGGTAGGATTCTTGCTTTCCTAGAGTTTACATTCCAGTCAGTAGTAGAATGGGGTAGGGCAGGAAAGCAGAAAGATAACAAATGAATAAACAAATACATAAGATAATTTCATGGAATAATCAATGCTATGAGGACAAGAGAGGAAAGTGATGCTCAGTGTATGGTTGGGTGACTTCTTTGGTTTGGGTGTGTCAGGAGAGGACTGTCTTTGAACGTATATTTAAATTGTGGTCTGAGTGATGAGGAGGGACCAGCTACAACTAGTTCAGAGACCCTAAGGTGGAAACAAGTCTGCTATATTTG